CGCGGGGTCCCCCGCCAAGGCCGACGGCGCCGTCCCCAAGGGGGACACGAAGCACAAGAGGCGCAAGAAGGTGCGTCGGCCCTTCCAGCGCTGAGCGGCGCCGCCGCGGGGCTCCCCGCTGGGAGCGGGAGCGCAAGGACGAGACGGGCGCCCTGGGCTGGCTGCTCCCCGCACCGAGGGACGCTGTGCTCTGCTGGGCACTCAAAGGGCTCTTTCAAATAAAAGAAATCTATTTTTTTTTTAAGTAATCTATATATTTGAAAGAAAGCAGGGAGTTTTGGGGCCAGCGAGGCCAACACGGGCGTGAAGAGCAGAGTTGGAGCCAGCGATACCAAAGAGCGGTGCCCCGAGGGAGTCACCTGCGGGTTGTGTTGAACAGTCGGGTGATGTCGGTGTGTGCCGGGGCTCAGCTGGGCACCTCCTGCTGCCAGCTGTTCTTCCCGTCACGGCGCCAGAGCCTCTTCCCACTGCTGCCCGGGATGGACAGGGCAGGGAGGACTGGAGCCGGCAGCAGTGGGATCCAGGGTTTCCAGCTTTGCACCAGGCTCCTTTCCGCACCTGGGCGGAGGAGACGGACACAGAGCGGCTGCTTTTCCTCCCCACGCAGCCTGTGGGGCCAGGAGCCCCCAGGAGCTGCCCTGGGGGAGCCTCTGCAGGGACACAAGAAGCCCGGAGCTGTGGCAAAGCCTCTCCCAGCTCCGCTGGGTCGTTTTTTATTATTATTTTAAGGAAGGTTTCCTTTGTGCTTGTACGTATCCGTTACCACCGCGTGCCCTTCCTCAAGCCTATGCAGCTCTGGGGCCTGTTTGCCCGTGCTGGGGTCCCCCGGCCCTTCTCCCCTTGCTGGTTTTTGCTCTTCCAGCTTCGACTTTGCACTAAGCTCTGAGGAGGCCAAGCTCCTCTAGCTGCTGTTAAAGACAAGGACCCCAAAACCACGAGCTGCGCTCCGGGCGCTGGCCGAGACGCGCGGCCGGGACCTGCCGGAGCCCCCGACGATGCTGTGGTTGGTGGTTCCCGGCAGCGTGGCTGTTTTGTCTCCTGTTTCCCCTTTTTCAACAGTTTCCCCTGTTGTGCAGCCGGGTGACAAGCGCAGGCTGAGCCTCGTGGGTCGCCCACGCCGGGGCAACCGTCTGCTGGGGAAATGGCAGAGCTGCCTGGGCCGAACTGCCCCGCGGCTCCAGGGGGGTCCCCTTTGCTTTCCATGAGCCTCTGGGCACTCCCCGGCCCCGAGGAGCTCCTTTTGTACCACGTTTGTTAAATTAAAGGATGGTTTCAAGAAGTCTGTCGTGTGTGTGTGGGGACGGGGCTGCGAGGGAGGCGCGAGGCTGTTTGGGGCCGCGTTGCTCTCGTCTTCAAGTTCTTTATTGGGAGCAAATATATAAAACATGAGGACGAAGAGGGGGCAGATTGGTGACTCTTCTCATTAACGAGGATCTTCCCTCGTGCTCCCGGTGGCTGTGGGGGACACGGAGCTTGC